AATTCACCATTTCACCCGGATCACCATATCACCCTGGTTTACTCTACTTGAATTAAAAGTGATAGTTTATGTAGCGAAGCTGAACGTTTATTTTTTTTTTTATTTTTTTGTTTTTGCGTGTTTTTTTTTCTGGAAAAAATCATTAAAGCCTTACAGTCAATACACCCAGCCTGGAAGGTACTCATTGTCAATTACAGAGTAACAGAACACTCTTAACCCGTTTTGACATACAAAGATCTTTCGTCACTAATAATCCTGGTTTCAAAAAAAGAAAATAAAGTTCTAAGAGCGACACACAAATTTGGAAAGAAAAAGAAAGATAAATTACGAGTAATTTTTGAAGAACGTTGAAGAACCAAATTTCGCAACATAAAAATAAATTTCAGTATTTTAATTTCGTCAGTCACTTCGTAGTATTATACCTACTCGTTTTCATATATTAATGTGCATCGAAGTAGTCGTTGAAAATTATCATTTTAAGGGGGCAACCATGCAAAAATTCAAACTATCCTAACCTTTTCATAAATTATTTTTTCACATAAATGTGACCCCAGATAGCAAAAAATAATTAAAATTAAAAACGTAATTAACAAAGGGTAGCAAACATAAAGATTATTGATGTGATTAAATTTGTTCTGAATGACATTAATGACACTTTTTATGTGAATCGGCCTTTAAATTAAAGATGTATTTAGACTTCTACAATCTACCTGATGTAGATTAATATAAAAAAGAGTATAACTGCAAATTTAATAAGTACCTATCTGCCAAATACGTTCACCAAAATTTAAAATTTTTGCATTTTCGTTCCTTATTTTTAATGCCCGTGGTTAGCCGTTCACACATAACCTAATTAAACTCAGGCAGTTTAAACCTTTTTTCTACAAGAATAAATTTGGAGAAGAAAACGTTAGTCCAGTCAAATTAGACAAAAATAGGGCTATGGGTGGAAAAAAATCCTAGAGAGTTGGATTTTTTTATACGTTTTTCTACTTTGCGTTCGTATTAAGGTCCATTACGAAACTGTTTTGGGTTTCGTAATGAACAAAAACAGTGCCATAAAAATTCTACTAAAAAGAGGGAAATTTAGTCTTATAATGTTGGCGACCTAACCGTTTTTCCATCGAACTGTCAGTGTCAATCAGTCTAACGCAAATGAAATTATTCAAATACGAAATTTTTGCTGTGTTTGGTTTACTCATCGCAAAAAATATTCCGAATGAACATGATTACAGTGGTGCATACCTTTAGATCATAGGACAAAGTAAAATAAAAGGTACTTACTGTTACTTTTGAGACTTTTGTGGTAAGGTAGGTTTTGCCGTCAACTTACTGAATAATATTGGCGTGTGATCTCACAGGGAGTAAACTGTTCATCGTATTTGCCATCAAGGTCGGTATTTCTAACGCCGTACATTGCAAAACGTCTTCGACACCTTTGAAATTCATTTTTACGAATAAAATAATGACGTTTCAAATTAATTTATTTCATAGCCACCTAGCCACCACGCAATGTCGCCAACTGCCGCAAAATTCCGTACATTCCAAAATTTTTATTTTTTTATTTAAAAAAGTGCAAAGTAGAAAAAATACTGTATGATATCTCGTTTATAAGGCATTTTGACGCACTTACTGCTTTATGACACTCCTCGCTGCTCTCGTCGTGTTCTAAACACGTGCGTGCGACAAAATGCTTCTTATAAAACTCGTATCATAATATACTATTTTTTTATTCTTGGGTAGACATATATCAAAAGTCCCCGAAGGTGGGGGGCGAGCTCGAGGACGGGGAGGGGGCTAAAGGTGTCTTTTTTTGTTTTTTTGGTTATATCTCGGAAACTATTACTTCTAACGGTTTTTGCATGCTTACCAAAATTGAAGCCTACAAAATTTCCTACAAAAATGGTCCTTTGTATTTTTGTTGTAGGACTAACCGTAAGCGAGTTATAGGGTTATAGGACAAAAACATTATTTAAAAAAATGTGCTTTATCCGCATTTAAAACAGAATTAATCTTGTGATTTGAAAAAATTGACAGTAAATTGATTTTATTGGGTGCAACACTTCATTAGAGTGTCTATAAAGTCTTCCGAGTCGTCCTCATATGCTGCATCTTCGTCTTCAACTTAAACATTGAAAACCGAATTACAGTCTTGTTCAGTACAATATTAATAAATAGATGATTTAATATCGTTCATTTGAATAAAACCTACAGTAAATTGGTTGTATTGGGTCCAACAGTTTATTAGAGGGTGTCACGGGGGTTTATCAAGTCTTCCGGGTCATCCTTATATGCTGAACTAGCATTTGCCTGCGACTTCGTCCGCATATAAAATGGGAATAAAGCCCGTTCACAAAACTATGCTATGCTATGCTGTAAATCTGGGTAACTCTACCTAGGTATGTTTTGTGTGGGATTCAGCTATAGTAGTCACGTTCTTCGCATGGGCTATGTTTATGGATAAATGTTAAATGTTGATTTTCATAAAGTGTCGTCTTAAATGTGTACACCGTTTCTTTCCCTTAAAAACTAATTTTCTAAAAATCTGATTTTAGTGCCCCTTTACACCTATAAAAAAATTTATGTTTATATTTTTGTTTAAACGTTTACCCCCATTTAACCCTCTTAGAGATTGATTCTCCCTTTCTTCCAAAATGTTTATTTATATCTCCATTTAAACATTTACACCCGAGTCATCTTTCAGGCAGACCAGCTTAGTTGGGGAACGCTCTACACATATAAATACTCGTACTTACCATAAACTAATGAAATGTGTTTGAAAGGATTTTTAATGCAATTTTATGTAGACTCCAAACTTGAAAAGCCTACGGTTAATCCTACGACAAAAATGAATAGAACCATTTTTGTAGGAAATTTTGAGTCAGAAATAGACAGAAAATTCTGCATAAATTACATTATGGACGAGTTTGTATTTATAGACCCTCGTGACTCTCCCTTCCTTTAATAAAGTATTAGACCCAGTAAATTCAATTTACTGTCAGTTTTTTTTTAATTACAAGACTATAATTCTGTTTTAAATGCGGATAAAGCACATTTTTTTAAATGATGTTTTATATTATAACTCGCTTGTAAGGCTGAGTGGTTAATCTTAATACAACAAAAATGCAAAGGACCGTTTTTATAGGAAATTTTGTAGGCTTTAATTTTGATAAGAAGATAAAAACCCATAGGAGTGATAGTTTCCGAGATATAAGCAAAAAAACAAAAAAAGACACCTTTAACCCCCTCCCCCTCCAAGAGCTCGCTCACCACATTTGGGGATTTTTGATATATGTCTACCCAAGTATAAAGAAAGCGTTTAAAAAAAATTCCAACTCCAGGATTTTTTCCACTGATTTGTTTAATTTGACTGGGCTACATTGCATTAACAGGGACAAGTTTTAAACAATATCATAAGTAGGTACTAGGTATATACATACACCTATAGGTATTTTTTGGAAAAGTTTAAAATTTTTGATGATATTTTGAGTTAGAGTACGAAAACTGTAAAAGTCATTCAAATCCGACAAGTCCATTGTAAGACTTCTATGACTCACGGTTACATCTTTCAGTATTCCTAGTCTAGTGAAGTATTATTATTTTAACAACTCCATGCAGAACAGGTTAATCTAAACATAGCAATGGCAGTTATAAAGAAGTAGGTTTTTGTATCGTTTACTATTTTAATGTTTCTGATAATTAATTTATAAGTAGACAGGTTTTTAAACAATGTTTAATTTCTAATTTCCATACAGGTACATTTAACTACTAGGTAATTACCATAGTACTATCCTATTTATTTATGAGGGAAAAGTTATGAACCCATAAACTGTTGGTTGGCTATATCTACCAATAATTTCCACAAGTATATAGTTTTGTATCAGGTAAAAAGTTGAGAAAGGAAAAAAGGACTCAATTAGAATCGGTTATTTTTACGAAAGTCTATTGCAGGTTATTTTAAAATAATGCAGCAGACACATTTTTTATATTAATTTTGCAATTTTCATGGGGAACCAACCAGATTTTTAAAATTATATTATTAATTAAATTAGTTGAACCATTATTGTGGGAACCAGTGTGTCAATGTTATGCGTGAGTTCTGGTTGGCCTAGTTATTCTATTCCGACGGCCGCTTTCATTGATGCGTCTGCAAAACTGGTTTGTTTGAGTAAACCGTGTGTCAGTCCCCACTTTTCACTCCAAGCTTACACATAACGCCTTACATTTGAGGGAATTGAGGCAACAACAATTAATCACTTCCTTGTATCTGTCGGACATGTGTTCATACCGCCGACCATAACCAATAGAATTTTAGATAGCAGTTAAAGGTGGGGCGAATATCATTCTAACATTCTCATTGGATACACGCATTATTGAAAGTGGCACTCAACAGAAAAAATATTTCCTTCTACCTGCCCACCACACTCACAATACAATGTTGACTAATGGTAAAACAAGACCTCTATTTTGTTAATTGTTCCATTGTTTCCATTTTCACTATTGAATGCTCGTGTAGATTGTGAAATTTAAAATTGAGTTAAGATTTCGCAGGAAATGTTTATTACGCCATTTTGAACAATTGTGTGAATTGTTTGGGTTTAATAAGTTTATAGCTTATTTTGCTATTTTCGTTTTGTGTTTGAATTTAACACGAATGTTTGCTGTAACAGTTTAAATTTGATGTGTATTTTGTTAATAACCAAGTTGGTGGAAGTGCTCTTCATATTACAATCTTTTAGAAATATGTTTTCTTCGAGCATCATTACTCTTAACACCGTTTCAAGAAAAAACTATATAAAAAAGCGTTGTTGCTTTATTGTTCTCAATTTAAAAGATAGCTATACCGTGAGATTTAAATGGGAGTTTGAGGCCGAAACAATGTATTGACTGCGAATTCTTTAGAAAGCACCGGTGTGTAACCCAAACTTTGATGATCCTCTTGTTGCAATTTATGGTAATAGCCCGACTTTAAAATTACACCGATGTATTCTTTGTTTCAGCTCAAAGCACAGACCTCTTAGAAGATTGTCAAAAATTACTCGAACGGTTCAAGTATCCGTGGGAAATGATGCCGCTTATGTATGCCATTCTGAAGGATGCGAGGGCCGACCTAGAAGAGGCTTCCAGGCGGATCGATGAAGGTGAGTGTGACTATTGAAAAATCCAAATATGTCCTAATAGGGTGTAAATATTTTATTTTGTATTTGTAATTATAATTTTATTGTGCGAAACTTTGTTAACCACAATGCAAAGTGATTTTGCATTTTGGTATGAAGGCATATATTTTGTAAATTGTCTTATCAAGTATTTAATGATTAATGAATTTAGGAAAGCGTGTTGTGAACGAATATTCAAGACTACACAACCTCAACATGTACGACGGAGTGGAGCTTCGAAATTCAACGCGTCAGTATGGATGATTAAAAAATTAACCACCACCCAAAATTTGTAATTTCGATTAACTTTACCTCTCTTGCTTTCTGTTTAATTCACTAGATTTTGGGTGTTTTTCGAAATTTTGTTAATTGTCTCAGTCTGAATCAGTAATGCATGTGCTCTTTTTTCTTTACCGTTTATAGATAACAAGAACCACGACCGACGAAATTTCAGCAGCAATCCATCCTTCAAGTCTGTCAACCTGCAGTTTAAATGCAACGTCTTAATATAGATATCGTCGCATCTCATCAGCTCAAGCCGTCTTTATTTATTGTTGTTAATGATAGTAAAACCAAATATTTATTGCATTAAAGTATTATACTTGGACTCAAGAAAACCTCAGAAGACCGAAGCTTCGTGAATTTTGTGGACAGTATTTTTTATCGTATTACTAAAAATATTTAGCTTTAGTATTTTAAATAAGTAAATATTTTAAAGTAACTTTTCTCAACATTTGAAAGTTGTAAAGTATATTTTTGATGTGAAATTTATGACAACTGTGAACTCAAAATGTTTTTGAGGAAGTAGAGAATGTGTCACAAGAGCATTCTAAATCTTACAAGGTAAGTCTTCCAACTGCTTCTATAAGGTCGAAAAATTCCAAATGTCTCGTAAAACTTTCATTCCAACTTACCACGATGCTGTGTTGAAAATATTATTGCGTTACAAAGGGTAATGCCAACTCGAGAAAGCATTCTTTGCAGTTTAGTGGTAACAAATGAATTGTTCCACTTTATTTGTATCAATATTTCTCGAAATGATTTTTTAGACAATTAATGGGTATCAAACAAAAAATATTTCTATGCTGTAGGTACTTTCAGCGTATTTTAATATCCATCAACGCACGCTTGCATAATTCGATGTTTTTTGTAATTATTTATAGCAATATACAGGTCAAATTTTTTTGACAGATAGAATTTTTTAAACATTTTTTCCATGTTCCTGGTATCTTATCTTACTTGAAATTTTTCTCTGGGGCGCGAGTTTTGGCGCACCCTGTATAGTTGTCTAAATTTCTCAAAATTGTTTTACTTTAGAGATATGGACGATGATTAAAATTGGTGTTGAAACTATGGTTCGAAATAGTAGGATAAGACAGTTTATTTTATTTTTTAATTAAAAGTTAGTCATTGCGTGGGTGCTTTTTAAATTTAGTTGGAGGTAAATTCTTAACATAAAATTTTCGTTTGTAAAATAAATTTATTGCTTTTGGCAAAGTTTCACATAAATGTAAGAAGAAGTAATGATTCTGGTTACATTTACGCTAAAAAGTTGCACGTGTTCGTTGGCACCTATTGTAACTTTCTAATTCAAATTCGTAGGTATTTTATAATATACTTACTCGTTGAATTAATAAAAATTCATAAATAATTTTCACATACTGTAAGGAGATATTTTTATGTTTCTTACTATTATTATTTAGGAATATAATAAACAATATGATGATGAAATTTATTACTTCATAAATTAAAATTAAGCGACTGTTGGCAATGTTTTTAATCATTTCTAGTTTTTTTATTTTATTTTGTATGGAATTTAACGCAGCGACATTAATGACACCATTTATTAAAACATGACTGCAATTATTTTTTTTTATTACTTCTTTAATACTTTTTGTATTAACTAACTGTTTTAGCTGTATGTTAATTAATTTTGTTGTGACATTACATAGAAACTTGCTATAGATCGAAAGGCTTGAAATGTGTATTAAGTCATTTCCTCTTTTGTTGATTAACTGGTTGCGATAAATTGGTACCAGTAACGCGCTATTAAATGCAAATTAGTGTTCTTTCTACGCTGCAGGTTGCATAAATCGCTTAATTAAAATCCAGGCAGTTTTTGGACCGAAGTTGACCGGAAAAAAATTTTTGTATAAAAGCATATAAACTTGGGATAAACTTTATTTATTTTAAGCATATTAGTATTAGTTGTTATCTAATGATAAACCTTGACAGTGACTTTGATGCATTTTCAAAAAAAATAAGTGTCTGGACAGATAAGTTAGTTTATATTATCAAATTTATCTTCTATAGCAACAAAGTAAGTACGACCTTGTACACGTGCTAGATATGTTACTATCTTGTTAAAATGAGGTTCAAAAGTAAATTGAGGTAGGTCAGGTGCAAGTGTTAAGCCGAAATTTCTTAGATACGCAAAAGCTTTATGGGGTAGGAACAAAATTTTATTAAATTTCAAAAGTATCTGCAACTGTCAAATATTTATTATCGTCTCTGTTAATTTTTTTGATAATAAATTGACACCGCTTTCAAGTAAGGTGACCATGGATGATCGTTTAAACTACTGCCGATCTAATATTTAGAATACATATTCTCTTATTCTCTGTTTGAAAATATTATTCGGCTGTGTTCTTTCGTTAGGATAAATCCAGGAGAGATGGATCTTGGAACTTGGAGCCCCCTTCTAGGGCTCCATCTCTGATAGCAAAATGTTAATCTTAATGTTTTAAGTTATGGTAAAGCCTGGTACACACTACTGTAATGTAACATGTAATGTAATAAGAGACCGATTGAAAAATGTGTGGCTCAATACCAAGTATTTTACGCAAAAGCTTGATCGAAAATTTTTAGTATCTTATACATGCAATCGTCTCAGTTTAACGGTGGCAAGTGTAAACTTATTATTTATATGTACCTACACAAAACCTAATTACAACTTACAACAGTTTTCTATTCACACTTGATGAGAGGTAAAATAGTAATTTATCTCTTTTTTGTTTTTGTTTTTCTGAGGAAACATTCTTGCGATTTATATTCGAAAAAAAGTACCTAAGTCAAAATTGAGTATAATTACAGAGGAACGAACTGTAAAAAAATACGAAAGAATAAATCCAGGTAACAGATAGAGAAAATCATCGATCGTCTAGTTAAGCATAATGGTATACGAGATTGACGAGTACGCATTATACACTTCTTCGGGTCACTATGTCGACCACAATACTAACAATATACAGGGCGATTCAGATAAGATAATGAGCCTGACGATCTGGCGATGTAACCCAAAAAACAAATTTTATTTACGCCTTTGATCCAATTTCAATTAGGATTTGCAAGTTGAATCCAAGTTATCATCTTGTGTCACTCTGATGACATCAGTGCAGAGAAGGATTATAAGTGCCATTCAGTTCTCGCGGAATGATAGAGAAATTCGAGAAGTCTTTTCGGTGTAAACCCAATACAAAATGTATGAAACAATGAAACATTAAAGGTAGGCAAACAGTTTTTTTATAAATTATAAATTGCTTGTCAAAGCACTATCAGAGCCATATAAGATAACTTGGATTGCAAATGCAAATCGTAATTAAAATTAGATCAAAACGTAAATGAAATTTGTTTTTTGGGTTGCATCGCCAGATCGTCAGGCTCATTATCTTATCTGAATCGCCCTGTATTAAAAATATTAATATTGACATTTATCAGGGTTTGAGGGTGATATGTGTGTGTTGAGAACGGATCACAATTTTAAATACGCCTATCGAAGTGTCAAATATCAGATAATATTTAACAACTTCCAATACGATGGTTCGTTCACAATCAAACTTTCATACACCAAATTAAAAAAAAAACATTTGTTATATCTAAAAAATGTTGGCATGGGCTGAATTTAATTACTCTTTCCATACGAAATTTTGTTCTTTGTAGCATATTAAAGTACAAAAAGTTTCAGTATGTTTAGAAAATAAGCTTGAATATGCATGTTGCATTTATGCAATGGATCATAGAGTTTCGAACAATTTTGCTGATAACAAACGCTAATAAGAGTGTTATTGTAATGAGCAGCTGGTTCTTTCACACTTAATGTAATTGCTGTATTAAGGAATTTTTTGGCTTAATAAGGATGTTATTTTACTATTTCTTTGACTTATTGTTAAAATAAAATATACCTATCGGTATACTGTTACAAAAATTTCCGAAAACCCAAATATTTTAGCGATAAAAGAGAAATTTCTGGCTAGTGTTCTCGTAGTTTAAAACATTTAAATTTGTTAATTTTGATAATGGTTGCTTATTTAAGTTCAGAAAAATAAGTTTTTGAGGACTATAAGACCACATCGTGGTTTCTGTTACATTATGTTTTTGTTACATTATAGTAAATTTTGGATACGAGTATGACGATTAAGCACAGTAGATAGTATTTGTTTTTTTATTTTTATTAAAAATTTATTAAAAGGAACAACTTTAATTCTTTGTGAACATAGTGTTTCATTATTTGTATTCTGTGAAATTACTAATATTGTGCTGTTAGGTGTTTTCTCTCTCAAAGATTTTAAAATTTCAGGTATAAATCTCACTCCACTCAATAAATATCCTGTTTCGTTTGTTGTTTAATTTTTCTTTTGTTTCCCAGGTCGTGACACTGAAATTCTGTTAGATTTCTGCCAAAGACTTAAGGATAAGTTCCAGTTGTCGTGGAAAATGATATCGCTAGTGGACGTTATTCTCAAATATGCCAAAGATCAAGACGAGGCGTGGAGGCAGATTGATGAAGGTAAAGCATCTAGCTGGAGCAAAATAAATCACGAACTTCATTAGCAATAAAGTTGTGGGTACTTGTACCTGCATGATTTATTTTATGTTTACTTTGTGCTTTATCTTGCGAGCTTTTTAGAATGCGAGAGCTTTGCTCCGTTTATCTCACCTATTTCTGTCGGTGAAAGAAAACAGGGAGTTAAGCTGGTGTGTACTTGTGAACACCAAACAAAAGGGACTGTTTGCGCCAATAGTTTACAAATAAGCCAATATATGCGAACACTGTGAATGAATTTTTATTAAATGTGCTAGTGAGAGCCTGTTATGTTTTGAAACAACTGCATAGCATCGTTAAAGTGTAATTTATGACCACCGTAAATGCAGAGGTTATAATATTTTTAGTATGTGCATATGCGTGCTTTTGCTATATTGATGTATTATACAACGGACGACGGCGACGCGATTTTTTATGACTGCTCTTTGCTTCAGCTGCCTGAAATCGCAAAAATTACGAATTTCACACGTGCTTTCAAAGCTCTTCCAATCTTTTGAAGCTACTTTCATTATTTAAGAATTGGATTATTATTATCACTATGCTGTCTTTTCCACGAGAAGGAAAATTGAAACATTTAAGATAACATACCGCGAAATAAAGCGGCGACATAGTTGTTTTAAAACTACCACCTGGGTCTGTTCATTCGACATTACGACTCAAACTTCCGCTGAAGTCAGTAAAAACGCATTATATTTAGCAAGTATGAACCATTGTAAAATAGAAATAGGCTCGTAAATTCTAACTATTGTCTCACTCAGAGTGTTCTAAATTTACTTCAACATTTTGCAATTTTATCCATTTAATGGTCTATTCAAAAGCTGAATCGCATGATTCCGATAAAACTTAAAACGAGCAGCTTTTCAGCACATCAGTCTCTCAAAACATCAACTATTTTAAAGACAAATAAATAAAAAAAGGAAATTTGTAAAATCGTTTCATGTTGTGTTTTTTCTTGAATTCTTTTTTCATACTTTCAGCATTCCTAGAAATTCGAGCCTTGGCCGCCGTCGAAGCAGCAAGGTACACCTACCACCACATCCCGTATTCAGGATTGTACCCAAATGCTGCAACTGCGATCTATCCGCCCGTATATTTGCCATCCATGTCCATGTATCATCCTGCCACTCTATTAGGATCGGTTCCTGTAAGCACGTCGCCGTCTCATTCTCCGCCCATAGTTCCTAGAGCTATAAGGCCTAGTAGTAGAGCGTGATAAAGGTAAGCATATTTGGTTCCAGTATTCCTATATAGCTTGATATGCACTGGTAAGGACTGATGGATGATTTACGTAATAAAAATGATTCAAAATTACAAGTCATTGCCATTGACTTCTATGATTTCTATATACTCGTAGCTATAAAAGATCAAACGTTTGGCAAAACTAGTTAAAAATGTACACACATTCCAACTAGCAATTTTTGTGGTAGCTATGTAACGTTCACTTTTTCTCAAACTTTAAAGTAAATTGCTACGATAGATTAATACCTAACTATAGCGAAATACCTTCGTAGATTTTCTCAAAGTGGGGAATATAGCCCGTACTGATTTGTCACTATTTCGAACTACCTGAACAACTTCATAATTACGACGAATTTACTCAACTGATACGTAGTAAAGTGGTTTATTCGTCTTCTTTATGAAAGATACCCATAATTCCACAGGCATGTTTTCGTCTTTAACAGAATTAGTTTTATCTGGTAATTTATAATATTGTCCAATACTTCCAACAGTATTTCCTATCTCTAGCAATGGATACCAATAATACAGTTCTACCGAGTATACAAGGTGATTCTTTTAGGGGCCTACATTATAAACTTTTTAACTTCGAATGCAGATAAGAATTTGAAATTTTGTACACAACCCAAATCAACCAGTCTGAGTTCAACTAAATTATTTTCAAAATGGCTGAACTACGCGAAATTGCCGCCAACTTTGAAATTTTAAATGGTAACCACTTATTTTTATTGCATTTTTGAATTCTCCTCTCCAAAGTGAGTAAAATGTACCTAGCTGTTAGTACTTATCTGTCATAGTTTTTGACATATGTCAATTTTTTTGTCAAAATTTTCACTTGCAGGGGTATATTCAAAACATCACAGCTCTTGAACCGTTTGCGATAAGTGAATATTTTTTTTTGCATTAGATAACCAAAGGTTCGAAAAGTTTCCTAGAATTTTCAAAATTGTCGACTGTGAAATTGCAAGGCTAGTATGATTTTTTGAATATACCATAATTAATACAGATGTTCGATATGTTTCCCATTTTCAAACAGTCCAAAACTCAATGGTGAACTGATTTGAGTGTCTTCCATTATTTAATTTGGTCGAAGATTATTAAATGCCGCCTCAATTCTTCGTAATTCCGTATGGGTGTTGTGTAGACTAATAAATCTTTAATACGTATTGCTTATTTTCCAAAGCCTAGGTGATTTACTTTAAAAATAAAAAAGAAAAACACGTTTTTCGTGTTTATTTCAGAAACTGTAAGAGATGGATATAGGACATGTTGATAAAAGTCCTTTTAGAAATCGATGTATTTTCGATTGTCGTTGAGAAAATGGGGTCATTTTCTTTGAAAAGACTGAGTTATAGCTGTTTGTTAAATATTATTTTCAAAAAATCATATAAGCTTTGCAATTTGACAGTTGACAATTTTGAAAATTTTAGGAAACTCTTCGAACCTTTGGTTATCGAATGCAAAAAAATTATTAAGAGCTGTGATGTTTTTAATAAACCTCTGAAGATGAAAATTTTGAGCAGAAAATTGACATATGTCAAAAACTATGACAGATAAGTACTAACAACTAGGTACATTTTACTCAGTTTGGAGAGAATTCAAAAATGCAATAAAAATCAGTGGTAACAATTTAAAATTTTATAGTTGGCGCCAATTTCTCGTATTTCCGGAAGTTCAGCCATTTTGAAAATAATTTAATTGAACTTAGACTGGTCGATTTGAGTTGTGTACAAAATTTCAAATTTCTATCTGCATTAGAAGTTAAAAAGTTTCTAATATAGGCCCTAAAAGAATCACCTTGTATACGTTACTATAAATGGATGTTAAAGCAAACTGTAGTCTGTCAAAATGTTAATACCAACCCAAGTTTTCTGATAAACATTCTGAAGAAACTTGCATAAAACAGACGCGCCCTCAAAATTGTAATCATTAATTAAAAAACAATAATTTTTTTCAGATATTAATGTAGCATTTTTAAACGTTTTAAAGCTATTTTTGTGCTTCTATTTGCCAGTAGTTCCACATATACCTTTAATATTCAGTTTATTCTTAAAAGAAACATAATAAAGCACTTTTTTTTTAATTTTATTAAATACTATGTATAATTACTGAACCTGCATTTGAAAATTACTTTAAAATACAACAGAAAATGTTACTAAATTGCTACCTCACTTTAAGTAGGTAAAATGAAGTAGCAAAAACGTTATTCTGACTTTATCTTTCACTTAGACTTAATAGTCACTGCCACTACATAATATTACTTTTAAGTAAGAGTAACTTGAAAGTAATTTTTTAGAGTAATTATTTAGTTTTCAATCCTAAAAAACGTACTACAAAGTTTCACTACTATACCATTTTCAAAACGGTAAAACATACGTATTTTTTACTAAAATTGTGGTTAATAAAGTAAAAATTACTTAATAGTGAAAGCACTAGCTTAATATCAAATTTAATAAAACACACTTTTAATAACAAAATCTATATTCACACCATTTCGACTTTACAATTTGATGGCTCAACTCATTCTGCCCAAAACCCTACATGGCCTCTCCCATTTTTAGTCGGAATCGTCATCTAATCCCGACTGCTTTGTTTTTACCAAAATAAACATAAAATACGATCGGGTTCCGATTTCGCTATGCTTCATATTATCCAAGGTTGTTACAATCGAAATCGCTTACAGTCGGCCATGCTACCCTTGCTGTACGCCCTCGTAGAGATTTATACATGGGTCTAAGCCTAAAATACAATACCTGAAAGTTTAATGAAAAGCTGAAAGAACATAGAGCTACGTGAGCCAAAAGATGGCTACGTGAGCTCAATATATTGGTTAATAAGACTGAAAATTAACGTAGAGCTACGTAGGCGAAGCGTAGACCTGTGTCAGCTCGCTCAGCACGTTGCTAATGAAAACTTATACATGAACTCATAGGACTACCTATGCTACTATTTGTGCCCAATCATCAGCATGTTGCCGATGAAAATCTTTAAAATTCAGGGTTACGTCAGCCCAGTTAGCACGTCGCTAACTTCAAGTGATGGGCTACATGCGCCCAGTCATCAGCACGTTGCCGATGAAAATATTGGGCTATTTTAGCCTCTTCGGCACTTCGCTGATATTACTTGTCGGGCCACTGAAACCCAATCAGATCAATCCTTTTTATGCTTCAATCCATTAATACTTTCATCTTCTGATGATGCTGTAAATGCATCGTCTGACATATCGTTCACATATGGTTTCAATTTGTCAACTGGACAAACACCACTGTAAAATTTTTGTGCACGTTGTGCGCCTGGTAGGTCTTCTATGACATAACGATCGTGAGGAAGCACTTTCGTTATCACGTAGGGTCCTGAGTATTTTGGCAGCAACTTCTTGCTTTTGTCATCGTTTGATGGAAGGACTTTTCTGACTAACACTTGTCGGCCCACTTCATAATGTTTAGCAGGTCGTCGTTTTGAATCAAAATGTTTCTTTTGTCGCTGCTGCTCTTTTACAGTGTTTTGAATACCTTCTGTTTGTAACTGTTGTATATCTTGCTGTTTTTCATTTACAGCCAGATTGTTCAGCAAATAGGCATCATCTACACTACGTGGACAATAGCCCATTAGCATCTCATAAGGGCATTTTCCTGTAGTTTTATTCTTTGTTGCATTAATCCCAAAACGTATTTGGTTAATCTTTTCATCCCATTTGTTTTCTTGTTCTTACGAACAGCTTAATGCACCAAGGATGGTCCTGTTATATCGCTCCATTTGTCCATTTGCTCGTGGTGTTACCGTAGCGTTTAGAATTATTTTAATTCCATAATCATGGCAAAATGTTTTAAACTTTTTGCTTGTGTAGCAGGTTCCCCGATCACACACTATTCTGTAAGGTACACCGAACGTTTCAACGATACCTTTCAGAAATAAGATCGCTGGTCCTGTTTTACAACTCGTTACTGCTTTCATAAAAATAAATTTAGAGAAAGCATCAATTACTGTAATTAGATGAGTGTTTCGTCGGACACTTTTCACAAAGGGTCCCAGATGATCTACATGTAAAGTATGCATGGGCACCTGACCTTTGTCAATAATATGCAAAAATCCTGGTTGCTTTCCTGTTTGTTCTTTGTTGTAAGCACAAGGTAAGCAACAAGCAATGTATCTTTTAATGTATTTCTTCATATTCGCAAACCAATAATGCTTTGAAACTGCTTCGAAAGTTTTGTTCAGTGCAAAATGTCCTTTCCGATCATGGTAGTACATAACAACTTCTCTTCTAGCAAACTTCGGTACTACCCATCTTTTTCCTTGAGGTGTAATCTTAAAAACTCTATTCTTGTGGAGGACATTTTCTTTATGGATTTGCTGTTCTTCCTTACCTGTAGGATCTTTAGACAACACTTGATGACATCTGTCATCTTTCAACTGGACTGACAATAACCAGTCATCTTCTTTAACATTCATTATCAAGATTTCTATTAAATCATCAGACGCTTTTTCCACAGGATTTCGGCTAAGAGCGTCAGTATGTGGCATTTTCATTCCCGAACGATATTCAACAGTGAAGTCAAAACTCCTGGGTCACAAGCCACCAACGACCTATTCGTGGTATCAGATCTCTTTTGGTCAAAGTTATTCGAATTGCATTACAATCAGTTACAACTTTAAATTGTATACCGATCAGATATACTTATCCTAAATTTTTGAAGTGATTTCACAACTGCTAAAGTTTCCAATTCGTAGGAATGATAACGTTGTTCTTCCTTCCTTGTCTGACGACTAAAATATACAACAGGCTTGAATGTTTTATCTTTTTGTTGTTGTAATAAAATGCCCCCAACACCTAACTTTGACGAGTGTAGAGTCGTAAATTGCTAAAACCGGCCGTGAAGTCAACTTCGTCTTCAGGGTTTGAAAAGCGTTTCATCCCAATGGAAAGCAACATCGGGTCAAAGATGTAAGAGGTGCAGCAATTGTACTAAAACCTTTGATAAACTTCCGAAAATAGCTACACAATCCAACAAACTGGCGAATTTGATGTACGTTCGTGGGTTTCGGAAAATGTGCCACCGCCTGAATTTTGCGATTACCTGGTCGAATCACCCCTTCACTAATTTCGTGCCCCAAATACTCAATTGACAAAGAAAAGAATTTACATTTCTCTAAACGAAGTGTCAAGCCAGCAGACTGAAACAAGTCGAGTATTTGTGTCAACGTATCGAATCCTTTTTCGATTGTCTCTGCCGGAATCAAAATATCGTCCATATACGCCAGAGCTGTTGTAAATCGCAACGAACCTAACGCTTGGTTCACTTTGCGTTGAAAAACTGCCGGTGCATTCACAAGTCCAAAGGGCATGCGAAGATACTCGTAGTGCCCTTCTGGCCTAATAAAAGCCGTTTTGTTTATTGAATCTGCTGCCATAGGTATTTGATGATAACCCATCTTCAGATCTAAACTTATGAAATACTTTGCCGCTTTAAGCCTGTCCAAAAGATCATCTATCCTTGGTAAAGGATAACGGTCTTTTACGGTTTTTGAATTTAGTTTGCGGTAATCAACACACATTCGAACTTCACCCGTCTTCTTTTTGACTAAGATTATTGGGCTAGCGTAGGATGAGTTTGATTCTCGAATGATATTGTTGTCGAGCAAATCTTGTACGGTTTCACGTACCTTAGCGCGTTCAGAGAAAGACGATATGGTCGATACGTTATTCGCTCATCGTCTGTCAAAGTAATTTTCATTTCAGTGTCTACTGCCCTCCCTAATTCATTTGTATTTGCAGCAAAACAATTACGATACTTATTCAAAAGATTAAGTAATCGTTGTTTGTGCTTTTCATCCAAATCGGAATCAATTTGATTTTGTATGTCATCTTTCGTGAAATACTTGTCTTCCGCTTCACTTATTACAGTAAAAACACTTACCATCTCCTTAAAAGTGGTTCTGGAAGTGGACCAGGAGGTATCTTCTGTACATGGACGCCCTCTTGCTAATAGCTGCGAAGCTTTTTGCTGCAGGGTTTGTCCTGAATGGTTAAGAACAGGAATCACTCCTATTCCGCCAACAATTGAGATTACACAATGAGGAATTGTAAATTCACTATTGGGTTTGTTACGTTGTCCGTAAGTGACATAAATGTCCCCCTCGTAGGCACTGTTCGTGGCAACAAACACTCACGGGTACTTCTTGGTCAGCTGGTATATACCAACACCAGAGGATTTGTATCGTGAATATTTGTCCACATTGGCAAATCAATCCTCATCAAAACATGTACCATTCGTACAAACTCAGAGACGTTCTGTACAACAAAGGCTAGGTCCAAGTTCCAGCAAAGAGGAAAAGGAAAAAAAGAGAAAAGATACATTGTTTGATGCTATAATTGTGGTGACGGAACACATTTAGCATCAAACTGTCCCAAACCAAGTAAAGTATGCACCTTGTGTAATCGTTTGGGACATGAAAGTGATGGCTTTACGAGAAAACAAACTTCCAAAAAGATCATGGTGTGTTCAACCGTTGAGAAAAATGATGACTGCTACTTTGTTAACTGCAAAGTAAATGGTCAACTACTTCAGGGTTATATTGACACTGGTTGTAGCGTGGTTACTATACGTAAATCGGATGCAAAACGTTTGCATCTTGATTGGGAGCCATCTAATTTGACAATTAAAGGTTATGTGAATATACATCCTCTTTTGAATAGAGGCTCAATTTGACTGGTGGTAAGTCATCAATTTGTGGTAACTGTATAAGGCTTGCATCAAAAATTCGGACTTCATTGTTACGGACAACCAAGGCAACGTTTGCCTTGTTAATAAAAGTTTGTCCGATCATGACAGGAATTGCTTGAAGATGATCATCCACGACAGTAAGTGAGACCTCTGCTTCAAACAAGTCGACTTCTACGTGCCTTTATTTGGCCTTGAACTCGAGTCGATCCACCCCCATAACCTTTAATTGTCAAATTAGATGGCTCCCAATCAAGATGCAAACGTTTTGCATCCGATTTATGTATAGTAACCACGCTACAACCAGCGTCAATATAACCCTGAAGTAGTTGACCATTTACTTTGCAGTTAACAAAGTAGCAGTCATCTTTTAGTATCTTTTCTTTTTTTTCCTTTTCCTCTTTGCTGGAACTGGGACCTAGCCTTTGTTGCACAGAACGTCTCTGAGTTTGTACGAATGGTACATGTTTTGATGAGGATTGATTTGCCAATGTGGACAAATATTCACGATACAAATCCTCTGGTGTTAAATAGCTTCCCGCTCGTGCTCCAGTCTGAATTGTTAAATCGCAAGAGACCGCGTTAGGTCCTGTAATGCCGCACGCTGGGAGAAGACCCATCTTTTCAAAGTAGTATTGGGTCCACGATTCGTCCAATTGTTTACGTAACGTACTAGCAAAATCTCGCTAATCGGGAAAAGTTTTAAGTATCAACTCTTTCCACTGTCCCCAGTTTAAATCGTAGTTTGGTAGACTGTAATACCAAGTTTTGGCAAGTCCAGCAAGACGACTTTGCATATGGTAAATGATCGTCTTTTCATTCCACGAATTAATTTGAGCCAACTTATCAATATTTTCTAGCCAACGTGAGGATGATAAATTTGGATCACCCGGACTAAATAGTGGAATACAGTCTGGTTTCACAATAAATTGGGAACTGCTTCCCTGGCCTTGAACACCTCTTTCAGATAATAGTAATTCAACAAGTCGCTCCAGGTGTTCTATGCGAGTACTATCCGTGGACTGATTTATTGAAATAATATCAGAATTTGGTACCTGTGTTGGTTGATTTTCGTTTATCATCCCAGTTCCTTGATGCCGTTCACTAGGTTCTGGAGTGATGACATCATCTCTTTGTAGAAGTTGTTTTCCGTCACTAATCGGTGAGTCATTTCTGGAGCGCGTATTCGAACGCGAATGTGAACGCTGCCTCCGCGACCGACCTTCTCGGCGACGACGCTTTTCGTCAATTTCAGGAGTACGTGATCGAGACCGTACTCGGTGTCTTTTCGTGAATCAATAATATTTGAACTTAACTTACACGTAACAATTAAATTAACTCGCACGTTGCGGTTTAAATCTTATCTTAAAATTAGGTCTCTGTACACTTATTCTTCTCACACTTTTAAAATGTTCTCTATTCACTACAAAATAGTTTTTGGCCCAATCGGCCACTTTGGCCACTTAGGCGGCAAGACGCACAGATCACCTATCCCACCGCTGCTCTGTAAGCACTAGCTTAATATCAAATTTAATAAAACACACTTTTAATAACAAAATCTATATTCACACACCATTTCGACTTTACAATTTGATGGCTCAACTCATTCTGCCCAAAACCCTACATGGCCTCTCCCAAAACAAACATAAAATATGATCGGGTTCCGATTTCGCTATGCTCCATATTATCCAAGGTTGTTACAATCGAAATCGCTTACAATAGTTCAAAAAAAAAATATACGCAATTACGATAAATCTACTCAGACAAAGTTCTCTTTACTTTAAACTTCGTTGATGTGACTCCTAATAGTCCTAATGCTGCTTGGGTACAACACATATTCTTATGTGGTGAGAGTTGGACGCTTCAAAATAAAAATGTTTTCGTAGGGTTTAGTTTAAAAAATGTCTTGTCCGGAAAATGTCTCATTACTTATAACGAGTGATTATTTAAATTTGGCGTCATAGTTGGTGGTGATATGTGTGTATTGTGAACGGACCATAATTTTTAACACGCCCACCGAGGTGTCATACGTCAGATTAATAACT